TCACCGCTGTGCTTGGTTCTGTCTTTTCAAGTAAATTAAGTTTTTATAGCAGGATGCCAGCTGCTTCCATTACCCGGCAACCCAGGAATGCAGTAAAGCATGTGGTAAACGCCCTGCGTCGTCTAGGTTGGTAAGCAGACCAGGAACAAAATGCTTACATTAGCTGCCGCACATAAGCACCCAAATATGGTGTCTGCTGTCCCTAAATGTAACACTGAAGGTGTGGTTTTAAATCCCAGCAGAGGAATGTGGCTTTATCCTGCCAGACTATGAAACCCTCTAGACGTTTTTAGAAAGGTGACCTGATGGAAGAAATTGCTGTCACAAGACGTTGATTGATACCTGTGTGTCACACCTCTCCTCTCCTCTCTTCGTCCATTTTTGAGGAGAATGTGTCAGAGGGGTTGATTTTAAGTCAAGCTGAAATTTGAAATATAATCTATAATGATAGCTGTGCTACTGCTTGAGCCATTTTCTGACATATTTGTGGAAACAGCGTCCAGGCTTCAAGCCTCTGGGTAGGCGTTTTTTTTTGCACAGCAGCAGGTTGACATTTTAGGGCTGCCATTACAAAAAGAAGCATTAAGGCTGAATTACCAACCAGGCAACTGCAGTAGGGCCCCACATTCGCTGTTTGTCAGTTGAATTGAATTAATTATTAGTTGATGAGATAACCTGACTGCGCCGGATGGTTTTGGTACTCAGAACTGTCTGGGAAGTTATCATTGGAAACTAGAAAAGTGCAGACACATTCGAAAAATACTCTGCAGGTGATTTCATTAATTTGTCTATTACCATCTATCACTTCAACCAATCAGATCAACGAACCAAATAACGTAATCAAAATCTTACTGAAGTGAGTTGGGAGAACAGCGTAAACCTTCATTGTCATTCTTTGCTCTTCTTTCAGTAAAGAAATACTCTCCAGTCCTGATATAAATGATGCTACCAGTATCTAAACTCTTTAGCAGCCGCCTTTTTTCACATCTCACACACACCTAGCGTAAAATTACGCCCGTAGCTCGTGCCGTACTTCATAAGACACTGATTGGTCCAAAACACACTGGTTTGGACACAAGCTCATAGCATATGCCTTGCAAGTTTATTAAAATGTGTATCATGCAAAATTTATACAACACAATCACAACAAATATGTATGTTGATTTAGAGAATGATCCTAGTTTTTAGTTTTATTGTAGGTTTTTAATTTTGTTTTTTTTGTTTTTTGTTTCTTATCTACCTCTTTGAGTCCTTATGTTATTTGTTTGTGTGATTTTTTTGTGTAATTTGTCTGCTGTAATGCCACAATTCTTTTTATTCAAAATACTACACCTTTGTCTTGCAAAGCTAATTATTAAGTTATTACATCCAAAATGGGCCCAAACTTTAAACTTTAAACTACAGTATAAGGTGCCAAAAAAATCCATTCAGAATCATCAAAGAAACAAATTGCGATTCTTGAATCGATTGTAAGTGCTGTCTAATTTCACGCCAGAAAACTAATAAAAATGTACAGGGTGCTATCATAATTAATTACAATTTTGACCAATAAGTCAAAACGCAAAGGATTTTTATACTCATTTCATGGTTCTTTCTAAAAATGAATTTTGGTTTCAGTTTGACTTAAAGGTTGGGGTGGGTGCACAATTGTATGAAAAAGCAACAAAGAATCTACAAAGCCTGTTTCATTTTCTAGCAATAGCATGCATTAAAAACTACTCAGAATGGTTGACATGCAACAGTGACTGATAATTAGAAAGAAGCTGATGCAGACGCTCTCTTGGAAACTGGTTTGACAGGGGTGTGGGAGTTGTGCTGAAAATTCACACTTCAGTGTGAGGACACACATTTTTCCAACTTATTATTTATATTCAGCACACAGCTCAGTGAAAGAAAAAGAAAAAAACAGGTGGATTAGCAGAAAGTGATTCTGATTTGATTCGGTTGTTCAGAGAGCTAAAGCGTCTCATTCTCAGACTGACTGGACTCTGCACTTGACACTGAGTAGCCACTGTAACTAATGAGAATATTAAATGAGCATCCTGGGTTGATCTGTGGGAGTGTGTGTGTGTTGTGGTGTGTGATGCGTTCAACCTCCAGCTCCAGAGTTGTATTCCACTTCTCTCTTTACCTTGCTTCCTCTTATTTTGTAATAAAAAAAAAAAGTCTTAAGCATCCTAAAAAGGGATGTGAGAAAGAAGGCAAGCGGTGGTACATTAGCGCGTTATTCCTTACAGTAGCTGCCAGTCTCTCTCTCTCTCTCTCTCTCTCTCTTCTCTCTCTCTCTCTCTTCTCTCTCACACACACACACACACACACACCACACACACACACACACACCACACACACACACACACAAACACACACACACACCACACACACACACACACCAACAGGGCCAATGAAAGATCATGGCAGCATGATGAAGGCGTCCCTCTTCTGCTCCCACTTACCCTCATGACAAATCTGCCTCCCAACCCACGCACGTGCACACACACACACCGCACCCACCACATACACACACCACACACACACACACACACACACTACACACACACACACACACACACCAACCTAGGACCTGTTCAGAAGAAAGAGAAGCAGTGATGCACACAGCCTGTGGTACTTCTACTCACCCTTAACCTTCCCCAGACGTTGGCACACACACACACACACACACACACACACACACAACACACACACATCCAGCTGTAAGGAGACTGATGCTGCAAGACTGCTTCTAGGCTGTCTGGCAGATAAATCGTGTGCTGTGTGTTTGACTGTGCTGTGCTGTGGTGTGTGGTGTGTGTGTGTGGGTGAAAGAGACGAGAGAACAAGTGTGCAAAATATCTTTATTTTTACTCTCCCCTGGGGAGTATCCCCATAAAGAATAGAAAGAGCCAGTTTAGGTTGGGCGTTCGTGATCAGGGTTTAGTTAATTGGCTGGAGGAAGAAGAGTCGGTAAAAAAACAATTTTATTATTCTCAACATTTCATCCTGCAGAGTTCTGTGTTTCACTTTTTGTCCTTTAAACTATTTTTGGGGCATTTTTTCCATTATTTTGATAGTCGTAAGGAGAGAGGTTGCACTGATGAATGTAACTAGTATTTTTACTCAAAACCCAACAAAATTGTATAAAAGGTATTAAAATAAAATCCACCTTTGATAACATTGAAACGCTTCTAACGTGTTATGCATCACTAATATAGTCCAATAATAAGCAATAAATATAACACTTAATGGAGTGATTACCTTTACTTTTAAATGTTTCTTTCAATACTGTTATAATACGTATTCAGTGCTTGTAATCAAGAATTACTTATAATGCTGGTGAAAAAAAAGTTTAAAAAACAGGCTTTAATTTGCAGAATAAAAATTAAGTTCTAATGCATCAAATTATAAATATGCTACAACAAATTTAAAACTTGGTTGTCAGTGAACTCTCAGTGTACCCACATACGTGTCCATAAGAAAATGTACAGACAGTACATACAGTGTAAGTGGAATAGAGAAAGAGAAGAACAGATCAAAAAAAAAAAAAACCTTGTGCATTATATTATTAAAAAATCAAGTATACTGGTATACTGTACAGAGTGCTTTCTGGCTGGGTAACTAGCATATAAAAGGATCTCCGAAGAGCCGCAATAAATGATTCATGAAGTGGTGTGAGAGCGGCCACTCAAATCGTTTATTGAAGCCAAAAGTACAAGCGAACCACACTGAAAAAAACACTCCAGTGTGGGCCATGTTGAACGAGTATTGGCCCAGAACTATTACCATAGTTAACATAACTTCATAATTAATAACGTTTTCTTTGGGAAAGTGCCTAAATTATGGAATGTTAAGCAGTACGTTGCTAAAAGGTGAACCTGGTAAGTAGTAGTAAGTAGTTCATACTGTTATTATCATACAAAAAACTCTTTTGTATAAATTTATGCTTTCAGATCAGTTGCAGAAATTTACACGGTCCTTACAGCAGTTTGGTTTAACTAGTCAACAACTGGTAGACTTAAAACAAAAAAGGTTTGTATTTGTTTAAAGGGGGTCACAAGAAGAAAAGGTTGGGAGCTACTGTCTCCATGAGACTTATATCTTTTTCTAAACTATTAACATTGTTTGTTAAATACATTAATAAGGCTAAACAAAGCTGTAAATAAAGTCAGGCAAAACTTTGGACATTGTTCCTAAATATGGAAGAATTAAAGTTAGAACGTCTCCCCATGAAAATAAGCAAACAGTAAAGTGTCAAAGGTTGTATGAATATATAATCACCAGTATGCAAAGGTGGCTGCTTCTATATGATGTTTTTCATTGTCATCTAGCTGCATCTTATAGGCACAGCTTGAGCTAAAGACTTAATGTCGAGAATGGGCTTGAGGTTGGCAGGTATAATGTTCACCATCTTAGCTTTTAATTTGGCATTACCATCTATTTAGTACCAAACACAGAACACAGCTGAGGCTGTATGACATGAGAATTCATTTATTTTGAAGGGATTTTCCTGATCATGTGGGGTTAGACTGAAAAGTCATGTCACCAATACAGCCACTAATTGAAAGCCTTATTGTCATTGTACACCAGTACAATGAGATTTGGATTTTTATTTATTTTAATTGAATTGAATTGAATGAAAGAACATTTCATCAAAACACAAATGGGCAAACCTCACGGTGGCGCTAGAGGGAAGATCAGTTTAACCAAAGTCAGTAGGATTCATCCTTAGAAGACCATGAATGTCTGTACAACATTCAGTGGCAATCTATCCATATAGTTGTACGAAATATTTCAGTCTGAACGCAGAGTGTTTGTTGCACTAATGTTGTTAATAAAACCAGACACCTGCCTTTACAATTACTTTAACTTCCATTTATTTAAGCCTGCTGTTGAGGCTTGTTTGGTTTGGTGGTAAATTAACTAACATATTCAACGATTCAAATTATGTAAATTAATTGAATAAAACAATTAGATGAATTAACTCTGTGTCTTTCCCACTTTTTCAGGTGAACATCTGAGGATGTGTCCTCAGGGTCCAACCTGTTGTACCAGCACCATGGAGGACAACCTGGCCGGTCTGAGCGCCCAAGAGACAGAGGGACTGATCAGAGAGGCCGGCAGGTCGCTGCAGGCTGCCTTCAACGCTCTCCACAGGAGCTTTGACAGTAAGTAGTGGGTGGGTGTGTGTGTGTGTGCTGTGTGGTGTGTTGTGTGTGTTTGAAGATAGACATTCATTACTGCTGAGCTCAATATCAAAGCTTCAGCAGTGGGCCCAGGAGGAGTAAGTGACATTTGTATGTTGTGTGTTTGTGAAATTGTGTTTGGTACAAGCTTCCGACTGTGCTCAGCGCTCAATGCTGCGCTTTAATAGTGACAGTGTGTGTTGTGTGTGTGTGTGTGTGTGTGTGTGTATGTGAGGCAGGATGTGTTTGTGTCCTGTGCGTCAAGGGGACCCCTGACTGGGTGTTATAATGAGAGCAGAGTCAGCCAGACACAATGAAACGTGATAAGCCGATCCCCTGATCTCAAAGGGGCACACACACACACACACACACACACACTAACAGAGGGGTGTCCCCCGGGGCAGTGGCTGGTTCAGCTAATGAGCAGTTGACCCACTGAGGAGCCGAGTCTGCAGATCACTGCACATCAGAGAAAGAGAGGGATGGAGGGAGGAAGAAAAGAAAGAAAGACTGAGAAGTGCCACCGCTAACAATAGGGAGACGGACAAATGCAGCAAGTGAGAAATGCGTCATTAGTACTGAGTAGAAACAGTGAGTGAAAATAATAAACAAGAATAAGAAGAGAAGAATGCAGAGAAACAGAGAACAGGAGGAAGACTAGTAAGAGGAGGAGGAGGAGGAGGAGGAGGACAGTATTATTAGTCTCAAGGCAGCAGGCCACCTCAGTAGCAGTAATGTGGCCGCCCATCTGGTTGTGGTTAGAACAGGCTGGCACTGGTACACAGCCTTTGAAGCATGAGTGAAAAGCCCAGACCAGTATACTGCAGAGACAGCGAACTGACTCCCTTATTATTTCTGTTTGACCTCTCTGTCACTTTGTATCCATCTGTCTGCGAAGGACATTTCAAAGAAACCTTTAAAAATGTAAAATAAATGTAAATTATATGTGCTAATCAGCGTCAGAGTGTAAAGAGACTAAATGAGTGTGCTGACTGTGAAAAATATACTTTACTATCAGGAGTCTTACAAGAAGTAATAGTAACGATAAATTAATTGTTATTCGTTATAATCTTGACAACAGATTAATGCACATTAGTATTCTGATGCCATACGACACACATCCAAAGCCATTATCCACTGATATGATTGGCCTGAGGAGCTAATTCCTTATTCATTAAACCCTATTTCAATATCTATTTATTGGACATTTTTCCTATAAAATAAATGCGCTAATCAATATTTATAAATAAACAATTGTTCAGATGAATATTTAATGTGGAAGGGGTCGGTCATAGTGAGAAATCCACAGAGAATCATCACCTGGCTTTACTGTTCTCTCAGCTCTAAAGAGCGTTTTATTGTCGTTCAGCTCTTTGTTTTGGTTTTACGGAATCGACTTGTTTTGGTTCAGTCTTTCAGCTCTCATTAGTACATTTACAGAGGCAACAAGCAGGTACTTTTACAGTGAAAAAGCTCAGATAAACGTTCTGTACACAACCTGTCCAGCACCAAAATGGACACTTGGACACTGATTTTGGCAACTCCCACCCATCTATTATCCAATAGATTTGAAATCCTGTTCAGATCTATTGGATTATCCAATGACAATCAGGTACACCTGGTCTAGGTTGACTAGACGTCGTTTGCCTCATGGCTTGGTCTACTTTGACTCTGACACAGTAGTGACGAAACGTCTGTTTGAACAATTAAAGGCTGTTAATTAATCAGTATGCTCCAGTCCTCCTTTATTCTCAGCACTTCAAAAAAGTTAGCGATTAGCTGGGGGACATAGTGGAGAATTGAGCATCTAATTCCTTCTCATTTTATTCCTCTGCTTTTCAACTATCGTCCTTTCTTTTCTTTCCACCTCTCAGCCTATTTCACCGAACTGCACGGTCGCTCTGAGCGCTCCCTCCAGGAGGCACTGTCTCCACTCGGCCCTCTGTACTCCCAGAACACTCGTCTCTATGGAGATCTCTACACCGACCTGCGACAGTATTACCGGGGCTCCGCTCTCAACCTTGATGAGACCCTGTCTGAGTTCTGGTCGCGCCTCCTGGAGCGCACCTTTAAGACCTCCTCTCCCACAGATGTGAGTAAAGACGCACCAGAAGCCACATATTGAAAGCCAGACTGGTGCACAGACTGATAAAAAGAGTCATCTTATGATTAAAAAAAAGGTTCTATAATAAAACTGCATCTCCTCAGCCCCTGTTTCTGTTCTGGCTCATAAAGAGAATGTGATAAACATTTGAACAATGTGATAAGATGATGGAATTTCCATTTTTAGATACATCACTTGCACTATTTTCATCTATTATTACATTTAAATACCTAACCAGAGCTGATCTGTGTGGAGGAGAAGTAAGTTTCACAACATCCTGGACTGGACTCTGGACCTTCTCCTCCGTTTACTGTCAGTCCTGTAATACGTGATAATAATGAGGGCAAAAATGGCCAAATAAACAATAACATCTCCTCTCCTTTGTTTCCCCCTGTGTCACCTCTGTCTGGCAGGTCAACCTTTCAGAGGACTACCTTGAATGCGTTGCTAAGCAACAAGAGACGCTGCGGCCATTTGGAGATGTCCCGCGGGACATGAAGGCGAAGGTGATCCGGGCTTTTGTCACAGCCAGGTCGTTTGTCCAGGGGTTGATTGTCAGCGGAGAGGTGGTCAGAAAGGTCTCACAGGTGAGTGTGTGTGTGTGTGTGTACGTGAGACAGAGTGAGGCAGACAGAGAGAGACAGGATGAGTTGGTGTGAGAGAAACTGAGTCAGTGTTTGTGAGAGAAGATTGTGTGTGTGTGTGCGTGTATGTGTACGTGTGCTAGGCTGACTCCCAGGAAAGCAGATATGATGGATGCGCGGTCGTCCCACCCTAACTGTCACAGAAAATGTCTCCACCCTAAAAATGAAAAACACAAAGATCATCAAAAATTAAGTGCCATCAGAACAAAGCTCTCATTTGGAGGGATGACAACACTGTTGTCAAATTATGGGTGTGATGATGTTTTTTCAGCTCTCCGTGCAGTCTTTTTCCCAACACTCAGATGTCTGAGTGTGTACTGTCATGAAAAGGCTATTGTTAATGTTTGCCGTAGCTTTTATGGTCACAACAACACCCTTCTTCCTTCATTCACTTGCACTATGCTAGATTTAGTGTGTAAGCTTCATTCCAAATCTGCAATTTAAAGGATCATACCAGTGATTTTTCGACCTATTTTCCACAGCTCACATATTCAGTACTTCCCGTCAGAGATAATCAATTAGCGAAACATTGTGCTGCATTTGAGAAATGTGCCTTTCAGTTCCAGGCATCCGTTGTTTTATATTCATCTCGAGTTGATGTAATAGTCAAAGCACATTCTTGAAACTCATTTGACTTTTTTAATGGATCACAGTGAACCTCGTGTCTGCATTAATTTTTGTCAAAGCTACATTATCTTTATGAGTGCAGACTTTTTAAATCAGTCAGCACTTAAACCACATTACCGCACAGCGATAATGTAACGTTGACACAAATTAATGCAGACTTGACGTTGACAGTGATGCATTATACAACTCAAGCAACTTTCAAGACTCTAATACACAGAAATATATTCGTGAAGGCCAGTAGGAAAATGCATCGAAACATCTAAAACTGTATAGCATACAACTGAAAATAGTTATCAAAATCATAGTTTAAAACATACTGGCGTGGTCTCTCTTAACACACTCACACTGGAGTTGCTTTTGAGTGTCCCTTCATCACATCTGTGCAGGGTAGTGGTGAAATAGCTCCTTTGTGGAACTGGACACCTTTTTATGTACATAATTAGAAGCTGACAGTGTAACATAAACCATGTACTGTATAAAGACAGACAAGGAGGGCCATAGTTGCTGTCTTGTTCAGGCTGTGTCCCTTAAAATGCTGCAATACCGCCCTCTACTGTTTATTGTTTTCCTTGAGCTATTTGTACTCTTGTGCATGGCCATCACGGAGTATTCCCTATTGGGGGAAAGAGCTAAACAGCCACTTTGAATTGAGACACGACTACATTTCCCAACAGGACCTAGTATTCATATATTCTCGTAATCATCATTCAGTAAGTGACTCTGGATATAAATGTCCATCTTTCACTGCTGGCCCTTGTGCTTCTGCTGGTTTGTGGTGCTAACAGTGCTGTTTCCCCAGGTTTCTATGAGTCCGGAGTGTACAAAGGCCCTGATGAAGCTGGTTTACTGCCCCCACTGTCGCGGCGTGGCCTCGGTCAAACCCTGCTCCAACTACTGTTCCAATGTCATGAAGGGCTGCCTGGCCAACCAGGCTGACCTGGACCCTGAGTGGCAGACCCTTATAGGTAAGATTCAGACTGTAATGTCAGACTTTGTAGAGTAAAGCTCGGGGTAATCCAGATGTTCGTGACTGGATCCCAGGAACACACATTGGACCTCATCCAAAAACCACACAACAGTCTGCCTTTCTACACAAGGAAAAACACTTCATCATCATAGCGGCTTATCTGAATTAATTTATTCGTAATTAACTAAAATAGAAACTATAGCCAAGACAAACTTAATGGAAAATTAATATTCTACTCACCATATCAGCTTATCACAGCTTGGACACTTATTGATTTTAGCAGAGGAACTTGGAGTTCCCAGTTGTTACTCCAACAGCTGAATATAGTTCCTGGTAACCTGTAAATGTAGTGATACAATTTACAGTTACGGTTTTGCACCCCTATAAAAAAATATTCTCTTGTCTTTTGCTCCTTCCTCCATTCAGACACGATGATCCAGGTTGCCTCTAGTTTCAGCACGGAGCCCAGCCTCGACGTGGTTCTCTCCTCCATCCCTGCTCGAATCTATGAGGCTGTTCACTTCCTACAGGAAAACATGGACACGTTCACAGCAAAAGTAAGACGTCTCACTTTTTCTCATCACTTACTAAAAGAGCATTTTTTCTCCAGTCAGACACCAGCTTGTGCTTGAAAAATCTAAATCATACAGAGATTTATTACCCTCAAGGAGTGCTTACCTTGAGGATACCTGAGATAGAGATTAGGCTAATATAATATTTATATTGATGTATATTTTACACATTTCCATATATATTAGCCCCTTCAGTACTTACAGGCAACATCAACGCTGTGTGCTTGAACATTTAGACCATGGATAGAGAAATTAATCTTGGGCCCAAACAGACACAAAAACTGTCCTATAGCAACATCTAGTGGATTTTCTAAGTTCTCACAAAAGTTGCAATACAAACGAACAAGTAATTTGTAGAGCTGTGTGATTTTAGCTGTTAAACTAAAGTTTTGTTGTACACGTCTGTGTATCTGTGCGTTTGTGTGCAGGTGTACCAGACCTGTGGAACTCCAGGTGAACCAGGAACAGGTAGTCCCACCCTTCATGAGCAGAGGAAGAAGAGCGGCTCCCTGACCGCATCAGAGTACAAACCCTCTCCAACTGCTGGACTCAGACTTGAGATGCAGGTGTGTGTGTATATATATATGTGTATATATATATGCACTGTATACTTGTTCACATATTATTATGTAGTATTATTTCATGGATGAATTCCTGGCCATGTTTGCACCTCTTATGTTTTTTTATGTGCAGACTACATTCAAGGTGGTTATTGTATATGTTGTATTTGAGTGCTATCCATGTATTATAGTGGTTAAGCTTTAAAATAAATCATGATTTACATTCATATTGGATTAGGGATGTGACTCACCTCTGAAATTGTCTCTGTCTTCAGGTGTCAGATCTGTCCAGTAAACTGAGGGAGATGCGGCAGTACTGGACCCAGCTCCCCATGGCACTTTGCAGCAAACTGGCAGCAGGAGGCGCCGGTCAGGATAAATGCTGGAATGGCATTACCAAAGCCAGGTGAGGAAGAAACCTACTCATTAACTTAAAAAGGCCCCTCACACCCAGGCTGTGTCTAGATATGGTTTGACCAGATTTCATTTAACCTCAACATTGAAATATTTCCTGGATTTTATACATTTCTGATTTAAATCACTTAACACATGAAAACTGGAATGTACTGAAATGTTAAATAAAACATTTCAAGCTCTGAAAAATCTGTTCAGCAAAAGTTCTATTCATGCAGCATAGAGATGTATCACAAAAAGGAAACTTGTGTTTCTTTAGCACTTAAAAGCTCAAAGAGACTTCTGAAGAGAGGAGAATAAAGCGAGGATAGGAGAGAGCAAGCATTTGATGAAGTTGCTACGATACAGGCCAGTTCTCATTCCGTTGAAGGCCGTTTGCCTTTGTGTCCTAACAAAAGGGGCAACAAGCTTTTTCTTCTCGGACAAACAGCAGCCTATGGAAATTTATTCTAAGATTTTCTGACCTGACATTTCTTTCCACATACAGAGATTCAAAAGCCTGTGGTGATTCAAATCCTGCAGCACAAGCATTCATGGCCACACGCTTACACAAACCTACGCATTTTTCAGCCCCCCCTTAAATGTTTAAACGGATTATAGAACAATTTGATGCCATGCTGATATGTATACATGTTGTCTCACCCCACTGCACACGCACATCTCGCATGCTTTAAAGTGGCTGGATTACAGCCAACTGATGAGATTTATGCTGAGCAGAACACTCAGAAAATATATGACAGTCAAAAGGCATGAAATATAGATATGTGTGT